GCGCATGTGTGTTCAGGATCAATATTTTGATATACTGCTTTGACACTATAATAGTTTCTGTTAGTTTATATTTCTCATACAATGTTTTAAATTCAGCACATTTTGTTTTGACATAGAAAAGAAAAGTTATTCAAAAATGTAAGATCTTTTATTTATTCTGGAGAAAAAGGGGCTGGTTACTCTATGAAGGGGAAATAAGGGACCAAAAGCCTTTTATTCATAACTCTTTAACTATGAATTTCTTGATATAAATTACTAAAGCAAAAATTGTTATCTTTTCAATCTGCAACAATATATTGTAACATTATGATAATATGTTATGTAATTAGGGGCCATAGGGGGCCGAAATGCTATTTTTTTTTAATCTTTATACCTCCAAAGGCAGAAATATTTTGATAAGGAGTATTGAATCAAAGATGTTCAGAATCGTATTCTAAACAAAATACAACCATACCATTTTTGAGAACGGCCCATTTCCCCATTTAAGACTTGAAGGGCTGGCCTCTAAAAATTTCTTTTCTGTATAGCTCGTAAAGAAAAGAAATAGTTGTTGAACAAAAAATCTTTAAAATCACGAGCCTTATCATTTATCAAAAGGGGCTGACCCTTCAAATAAGGGACCTAGAGGGGGCAAAAGACTCTTATCTATAACGCTTTCAATATCAATGTTTTGTCATAAAATTTATGAAGCATAAATGTTTATCTTTACAATCTGCAACAATATCTTGTAAGATTATTATTATATACTACGTAATTAAGGGCCATAAGGAGCCAAAAATACTAAATCGCAGACTCTGTATACCTCCAAAGGGGGAAATTTTTGATAAGCAGTATTGAATAACAGATGTTCAGAATTGTATTTTGAACAATATACTACCATTCAATTTTGGAAAACGGCTAAAATAAGGACTCAAAGGGCTTCTCTCTATATATTACTATTCTGCATAGCTTGAAAACGAAAAGAATTTCCTGAATAGTTGCTATACAAAAAATCTGTACAATCACGAGTCTTATCATTTGATGTGAAGAAAAAGGATCTGACCCTTCAAATAAGGGACCTAGAGGGGGCAAATGACTTCATCTAAAGCTATTTGGTAATCTTATATAAATCAAACAAATCAAATCAAATAAGGAAAGTCTTGATATCATCATGTTCATAAAAAAATCATATTTAAAATCATATCTCATCTAAAAAAAAATCGGACGGAAGACCTACCTAAATCGCTTTTTTATATACCTAATGTTTATCACTCAATTTTACTGTTGATTTTACGCAACCACCTGACATCGTTATCCGACTTTCCGGTTCACCACAGTTTATTTTTCTGAATCCATATCGAACACCGCTATCTGAAATTGATGACGTAATACGCAGAAACAGGAAGTTAATTTTCTTCAATGTTAAAATGTCCCTTATTATCATGCTTTGTTATATATATATAAATATAAAATATATCTATGATTTAAAAAATAGTCAAACAAAAAGGCTGAGTAGTTTTCAAAGATACCATACCCTATGGAAAATGAAAAAAAATCATGTGCACAAATATCATTGTGATTAATTATTTCACCAAAAAAGAAGTAGCATCATCTTTTTTCAGAGTCCAATAAATACACCATGTACATATTCCAGTACATGTTTACATGTAAGAATATCAGTTTACATTTTAAAATAAATTCTTTCACATTTCCATATTCAAATACAACACAAAGTATTTTTTTCATTAATGAACAGTAAAATGTAAAAAAAAAAAAACATTTGAAAATATAAATCATATAAATATTTATTACTTGATACATTTTCATATAATCATTTCATATGTAAACACAATTTTTAAAGTTTTACATCTTTGTAAGGTGCAGTCATGCCACTCAGAATATCACTAATCTCCCCTGCTTCTCTTCTGTAGTAAGTGACTGTCCTTTGTTTATTAGCCTCTTCGAAAAGCATTTAAGATCCTTTGGAAAAGAATTGCTGCCTGATTAACATTATCCAAAGTACCGTCATGGAATCTACTGAACTATAATCTCTGTTTTTTGACAGCTTTAAATATCTTATTTTCTATTACTCCTAAAATAATAATTACAATAACAATATACATGCGCATGAACTTATCATTCTTCAATTTAGAATTCTTTAGTTTATGCTACATTATTATCAAGGTACTAAATGGTTATTTTGATTTTATAAATTACTTTAATACATGGAATATCAAGTTTATATAATGCAGTAATTTCATTAAAAAACTAAAATAGTTGCACGACAGATATTCTCCCACCTTTTGGAGTCTTATTATTTGGTGGTGTTCAATGATGTTTTCTTGCTGTCTGTAATAAATAGTGTAACCTTTTCCTTCAAAACCATTACGCAGCACATCGCATACATTCCGTGAAAATAAAATGGAGTTTAATTCATCTAAAAAACAACAATACTAATTTATGAAATACAGTAAAACAAAGTTATAACAAAGTCATCAGGACCTATGAAATTACTTTGCTATATCAATTACTTGTTATATCCATACAAGGAATTTGTTAAATTTATATAGCTGGGGATCTAAAATAACTTCGCTTTATCCATTAGTTTGCTATATCTGTGTTCGTAAACAAGTTTTGCTGTATGTGAAATATCTTTTCTACTAGTATATTTTTCATCATTTGCAATATGTCTCCAGTTTTAACTTTAGTACATTTTAGTACTTCATCCTTGGCTATATGAAAAAAGAAGAATTATAACAAAATCAACTGTTTATATTCAATTTAGAACCAAATGAATATATGAAACCTAATTTTTTTGATTTGAATTTGAAGATGGTCGATGAATCACCTTTTCTGTACTGTCTGCATGATTTTTACACGGAGCCGTACTTCAAATATCTGATGTTCTGAAAAGTGAGTTTAGCCTTACTGTATTCTTTTTTTTTTTTTTTTTTAAAATCATTAGATAAAAAATGCAAACATTTGTAGATTACTGCTTGTTGCGTTTCTTTTGCGTGTCAGTATATAAATTAACTTGATTTTTATATAGAGAATTTAGGGTAGATTTAATAGAACGTTTGTTTTAGCTAATTTTTCGATTTGCTGGTATAGATCGTATCACAAATATGGCAATGAAAGATTTTTTTTATGAGTAAAAAATCGAAAAAAAAAAACCAGGAGTCTACATATATCGAAAAGGGGGTCCTGTGCTCAAGCACCTGTGATAGAACATGAAGAAAGAAAAGTAATGAGATTATAATTCCTACGCTTTCATGACAGATAGTTGTGATTGTAAGCTTTTGTGTGCAAACTGTTGGGGAAAAAATGAAATCCTGCATATAAAAAAGAACAGTCATCCAAATCGAAGTTATTATAATGATGCATCATTTTACTCCATTTTTTCAACGACAGCCGACTAATCAGCCAGCGAAACTTGTTCTTTTTATTTAAAGGCTGACTGGGTTCTCTTTCTATAACAACTTAAGTAAGGCCATATCAAGTTCCCTGTTTAGCAGTCATCCTTGTTTTAAAAACACCTACATGTACAGACCAGTTTGCAAAAAAAAAAAAACAACAACAAAAACGAATAAACAAAATATAGACTTCCTAGTCGTTAAAAAAGACCTCTTTTGAAGAATCTGAATTTATTTGTTTTTTCTCGTAAAAAAATCTATTTTTTTTTCAAGTCAATGTATAAGAATTTTGAAATTGTTCATAATATAAAATATTTGAAGATAAATATTTAGAAAAATTGATAGATTTCAACCAGAATATTGAAGTATTTCAGGATTTCTGACTCTCTTTTATAATTTCTGATATGAAAGCGAACGTTAAACGTAGAAAACAAATAAAATGGAAATTAACAAAATCGTTAAAATGTATTATACCCAAAAATATGGACCCAACAAAACATTTATAGCTGGTACACCGAATAGTTACTATTCAACAGCCACTGATGTCCATATTGATATACATATATTTCCATTCGTTGTGTTTTTCTAGTAAGCGTACTGTGAAATTGATTTGAAAGACATTTTCCTGTACATTCACGCGTAGAAATATACACGGAGAAACGTGCGCAACCGTGACGTCACAATGAGACTGCAGCGACGTTAGTAAAATGCAATAATATAGAACAGCGAGAAATTCAAATATTGAGTATATTTTAGTTGCCTCCAAACAGGTTAAATGTCAATATCAGGAATGTTTTTTACTACCTCGCTTCATGAAATATGCCTACGTTACACGTTTGTGTGATTCACACACTAATAACTCACACAAAACTGAAAAAAACATTCCTTAAATATTTACATCTTCATCAGTGCATGAACAACACTTTGCTTACGTGTATAGTTTTCTTGAAACATAACCAGCATAGGGCAGTTCATTAGTTAAAGAGTTTCTGTAAATTGTGCTTTATAAATAAAATTAATTGCATTACAACATGTACTGGTAACGATCCTCTAAAAACTAATGTCCAAATAACTTTATCTCACTTCTATTCTCAATGATCGTGTAGTGTAGGGCAGTGTTTTGAGAATTCCATCGGCATCGTAAGCAATTATTTTTTACTTGCTTGCATAGCCGAGTGGTCTAAAGCGCTGTTCCTGTACTGCTAGCTATAGGAGATAGATAATGTAACTCGAGAGTTCAACCCAGGGGTAGGGCGGAAGATGGTATCCTTATACAAGTGAATTTCTTTATGCTTTCTTAATTAATATTTCTTACTTACGGCAGCTATATAAGTTGAAGAGTTGTATGAAGAGTATATAAATCGACATCATTTTATAAGCTATTTATTGCATAATTAGCTTAACATGAAGTTTCATAATCTTAAAATCTAATGAAAATGCTATTGAGCTAGGTAAATAAGAAAATCAAATTTGCTGCATAACTTATGGAAAATACAATAAATCCGTTAAATGCTGTTATTGTTTTACAGGTATTAATATTACCCAGTATATCATTTTATTTTTATGCAAACACATCGACAACGTTTTCAATAACAGTGTTTTTTTCCCTTTTTATTTAGCTTTTTTTTCGCTTTATGAAGTCGGGATGTTTTTCCAGCGGTGTTTTTTCATTCTGATTTTTTTAATAGTGGTAAGTACTCTCTCTCTCTCTCTCTCTCTCTCTCTCTCTCTCTCTGTTACTCTCTCTCTCTCTCTCTCTTAAAAAAAGAACACGACGTTTATTTTCGATATCATAAAGAAAAGCGTGCAATATTATCTTAATGATATCTTTTTTCATATTACATGTATTTCACAGTGTATGATTTTATATTCTATTTTGAAGAAAACTATGGGTTCCGCGAGAAATTGCTCATGGTCCTTTAGAACATTGCATGTTGTCAGCTCTTGCCCATTTAAGACAGATGAAAAACTAATGGCAGAAAAGATTAAAAAATGTGAGGGATTGGCAAGCTTGCAAGATTGTTCTGGACCTTCATTGTTCAAGTATCACTGTGTTTTAAATGAAGATGGTGATGAATTTCTAGAAGTCTGTGCTCCAGAAGTTAAAATCGTTCTAGGTATATTTTCTGAAACATAGGTAAATTATTGCAAAACAAAGCATACGAGTCATGCATACGTCGGAATCAAGACAATAATTTTCCAGGCTTCACATTTACTTGCTAAAATGTCATAGATATCTCTGAATTATTTCATTTTTATTACTAATTTGATTTTATGATGTACGAAAATAGATGCAATATTAATATCCATATATGTATATTATTTTGCGTTTGTTCTGCACATTTATTTGTACATGTCTGCAAATTAAAAGAAATACATTTGAATTGTGAGTGTAAGCTATAAAGCAATTTAAAAAATAAATAAATAAAAATGTAAATTAACTAAATTGATTAAATGTAACAAATCATATTCTCATCCTTAACATGATAAGTATTCATATAGCAAGATAGCTTTTTATTGATAGGACACTGTGCAACATTCAGCATCAGTAATGGAAGAATAAAGCAACATTTTAACAGGACATGCAATAGAGGCACACACCCCTGCCCACTACAATATGTGTCTTCAGAATCATATAAATGTAAGTGCTTGCTTCTTAAATTTTTAAGTGAAAAAGTGCCTGACTGAAAATTGCTTAGTACATGTATTCGTTATGTCAGTTAAATTGTACAGCACACAATCAATCAATCAAATAAATGGTAAAAGATTAACATTAATTTGCAACTGTTGCATATATATATATATATATATATATATATATATATATATATATATATATATATATATATATATATATATATATATATATATATATATATATATATATATATATATATATATAAAGCACTAAAATGACCAACGACACAAACAATTATTTTCCAGGCTTCACATTTACTTGCTAAAATGTCATAGATATCTCTGAATTATTTCATTTTTATCTGTTTTCGTCCGTTGTCATATGTTGATCGTAAACTTTTGAACTTTTTTAGCTTTTTCTCTGAACCCACTGAACCAATTTAAATTCAATTTGATATACAGTATCTATGGGTACAGCGAAACCGAATTTTTGAATTTCATAGTACCTGTACCCCTTGGGACTGAGAGGTGTGGATAAAACTACCAAAATAATTACGATCTTTAAAAATCTTCTTCTTCAGTCAGGGACATCAAGAAGTCAAACTGTTGGCATAATTGCAATAAGCAGAGAACCCTCTACCAAAATTCTGAAATTCATAGCCCGAAGGTTTTAGGGTGGAGTTGTATAGATCATATAGTTAAAGAACATTTTTTTTGAAAATCTCCTCTGATATTGGATATAAAACAAGCTTATGAAGTGCATAGTTATGGTGACTAAGAGTGCCTCTTCGAAATTTGTTAATTTCATCGCCCCTGTTTCAAGGGTTCTGGTGTTGTAGTGCGGGGCTCTATTGATTATATCGTGAAAATACAATAATTCTTTGAAAGTCTTCTTTGCTTCTAGGTATTAAACAAAATAATTAAGTACAGGTATATAGTTATGATGAGTAAGAGTGCCTCTTCCAAATTTGTGAATTTTATGTCCCCTGGTTCGGGATTGTCGTGTTAGGGCGGGGCAGTATTATAAATATTGTAAATATATCGCTTCTTTGAAAAATATTCTCGTCTGCTCCTGGGTATTTGATAATTTAACCACTATATAGTCATTTTGAACAAGGCTGCCTCTTCCAAAATTGTAAAATTTCATGGTCATGGATTCAATTGTTTTGATTGGACTCTAATGATTGTTAGTGAAAATGCATTTTGTAAAAAAAAAAACATCTTGTATGTTCTGGGGTATCAAACCAATGAACTACGTACATAGCTATGATGAGGATGGATACCTCTTTACCAAAAATGTGAATTCTATGGCCCCTAGGTGACAGGGTGGGGCTCTAATAATGATATTATGAAAATACATCAATTCTTTGAAAACCTTTTTCTTTGCTCCTGGGTGCCAATGATCTAAGTATATATATCTATGATGAAGATTGGTGCATTTAGCAAAATGCTTAATTTCAGGGCCCTTGGGTCAGATCTAAAGGTACTTAGGGGTTACATAGTCTAAAGATAAATTAATGCTTTGGAATCTGCTCTTTGGTTTAAATCAAACATTTATAATGAAATAAAATTTATGAAAAAAAAAAAAGAATTTTCAAAATTCTAAGAATTTTTGTCCCCAGGGTCCGTGGTTCGTGTTGGATGAGGTGCATAAATGGTTATAAAATAGAAATGCGTTTTCTCGTTATTTCTCTGTTCTACCTCTGGTTATTAAGTAACCAGAGGTTGCCTGCTAAGTGTATAATTGTGATAAGCAATGGTGCCTTTTTCACATTTTTGAATTTCATGGTCTCTGATTTAAAACACGAACCAGAGTTGTTACATGATACTCGGGTGACCTATAAGGCCCTTAGGCCTCTTGGTGCTAAAGAGTTTGAACAATAAATAAATTACATCTAAATTAAATAACTTCGATATAATAGTATGATTAGCATTCATTCTTGTGCTTTCATGAGTAACATGGTGATTCCATATGAAGAAACAAAACGTTGACAGTGTATCTACAATAATATAATAATAATAAAAATTTCTGTACAACCCTCAGTATAAAAATCTTATGTTTACAATTTTTTGAAATTACTTAACATAGTTGTCAATAATTATTTCATGTAAATTCATAACTCTTTATACCATACATCCCATTATAAATAATGTCATAAAAATTAGAGACAAAGTTTTCATATATAATAAACTGACATATTACCTATGCAAGGGGCATATGCTGACTGACGTTTTTCATACCAATTGTTAGTCCATTATTTATACACTGATTTGACCACGGATTTTTTTCCGTTATATCCTGATTATGACAACGAGCATACGGCGGGTGTGACCGGTCAGCAGGGGATGCTCACTCCTCCATGGCACCTGATCCCACCTCTGATGTTTCGGGGGTCCGTGTTTGCTCTGCTCTTATTTTGTATATTTGTTTAATGGACGTTGAGATTGAATACTGTTCATTATTTCCATATCCTTCTTACAGCATATGGTTAGATGATCTGGTTTATTAATGCATCTATTTAAGAATAAAAATACACAACTATAGATATTTTAATTAATTAAAATAAAAAAAACTATTTAAAATCAAAAATATATTTAAATTAAGTTTGAAATACTTCTTCATGCATGCTTATAATATTTGCTTACTTATTTGTTACATACATAATGCTTATAACAATTATAAATGACAAATTTTAACAAAATTCTACTTAAATTCACTCTGATACTTTTCCGCCAAAAATGGCTAGGAAAGCACAATAAATGGCCAGCATGCAACAGAGTGTCCCATGTGACATCACCAAAAATACTCACAATTATTTCCAAGCTTAAATTCTTCCAAAATCTAATAATACTATTAATAAGAACTTAAATAAACTATTTCAGTTAATACCAAAATTGTAAATCCGATACACTTTCCAGTATTATGTAAAATGATACAATGTTAACAAACCAAGCTGGTCTAGTGGTAACATTCCAAAGCACGTATCAAACCCCCCCCCCCCCCACTTCAACTCCCCAAAAATCCAACACTTCATTTTTTATATAAACAAATAAATTTGTTAGCATATTTTTTCTCCCTCTTACATATGTACTAAATTTTATTCTTTATATACTGAAAGGAAAAAGAAACGCAAAAGAACGTCATATGCGATTTTTTTTATGTTGATGATAACTTTGTGATTACTTTTCATAGTGTCATACGATGCATTAGTGTTATCGACATCTTTTTGCATTTTTGCAGTCTGTATAAATTTCTTGGTATGTATGACGCAAGTTACATTGAGTCTAGTAATTGGATTGAATAAGAATTTGAAAATGCAACATGTTGCTGTGCTGAGTTTTTTTTTCTAATTTTCAATACAAAAAAGTTTTTTTCAGTTGTCAGAGAATAACTTTAAGGTATCCGATCCATATTAGCCTCAGATTCAATGGAATTGAATGCATAACAGATATGTATGGGCTGAATAATCAGTGTAGTTAGAACAAATTTTCATCTTCAAGTATAAAAAAGCAAGAGTAGGACATGTCCTAATTTATGACCTTTTCCTGCCTTTGACGAGTTATTTCCCTGTGATTATACTCAATAAAAATCAATTTTTAAAAAAAATTGATAAGTAAACAAATTATTTCTAATAGTTTTTCTATTCCCACTGATCGAATACATCTTTCCACCAGAGAATTTTTTGATATTTGAAGTATTTATTTTTTTATCTTAAAAAACTTACTTTCTTCCATAGACTTCAATGCAATCTTCAATAATTAATTTCTGCTTAGGAAATAAAATTTTTGAAAATATTTCTTGGTAAATCCCTTTCTACTCTAAAATGCTGTAAAATAATATCAGGATATTTTACAAACAATTGATATTTAAGGTAACAAATTTTGATCCTAATATTGGTCGGATTCCCTAAAGGTTTCCAACTAACCATGACGGTGACATTGGCATGTAACAACGTCACATCAAGATAAATCTTTTCATCATGGCATCTCGTTTATTGTCAAGGCATTTTCATTGAAACCGATAATTATACAGCAGACAATCATACCAATTTTTTTACCATAAAATTGACAGAAACTCTCTCCTCTGATTTGGTCCTTGAGTTTGGCACTATACGTTAATTTTACTTTCACACGCACACGTACGCGTCGTATGCGTAATGTTTTAGCATGTTCAAATTGGGAAAATGTAGCTGGTATTGAAAGAGGTTTTTTGACAGACATTCATGTGTACCAAACCAGCTGGATTCTGTACATTGTATCCTAAATCGAAATTCGTGGGTTTCATTGGGCGGGGGATTTGTTGGCTTTGGAATTATACAGCTACTCTCAGCCATTAAGACTACCGTCGGAAGGGTGAGGTTATAATCCTATGAGAAAGATAAATTCTCTGGTGAACTCAATGCACAGGAAAATCAAGTCTGATTATGATTTGCAAGGGAGATTATCAGAATTTTTATTTTTATTTTTGGGGAATATTGACATATCAATTTCAATATCTCAGTTATTATCAGTCAAAGTCACACAAGAATTTGGTAACTTGTTGATTACAGATGAATTAAAATGTATGATAACAATACAGAAAAAAATATTCAAAATAAAAGTTTTAATTTAATTCAAATGTTAAAGATGCGTTTCTTTTCCTTTTCAGTATATCTAAATTTGTAATATAAGTTCAAAAAAATTTATAAGAAGTGTCAAAGTGAAAAAATATAGAACAGAATCAAAGGAACGCAAAACCTGTACACGAGTGCTCTTTCTTTGTGTTCAGCAAATTGGATACATCCTTTAAATATTAACATAATTTAAACAAAATAGAGCTTGAATCCATTGTAGAAACGCGGTTTGAAAAAAAAAAGAATTGCACTTCGGAAATGCTTTGCAAATTGCTGAAATAAATTTCAAAGTGCGTTAAGAGTGTACATCAATATTTTTACCATGGAAAGGGAATTCGAAAAATATATATATGAAACAAGAATTATGGACTTTCATTTGAGTTAAAGACAACATCATTTTGTAATTTTTTTTTTAATTGATGAATTGATCAACCTTCATCGGGAACGAGACATGTAGTCAGCCAAACTTTCTTCTTTCCTGCGCAATACTACAAATATAATTGTAGATGTATTTTCATTATAAGTTTGACATTGATAAATTTTTCTCTCAATACATTTGAGTAAAAAATAAATGAGATTAAAAAAATTTGAAAAACACATATACCTATACTTTATTATATTATACAGGAGAGTGGAAACATCGCAGATCTAAGCAACAATATAGCCAGCTAACTAGACTTTAAAATGCAATACAAAAAATTATAGAAAATGCATAAGTATTTTTTTCATACCTCTTTATAATAGTCAAATATTTTTTTAATGGCATGATATCATGCCGCTTTAAACTCTTTTTTCATAATTGTGCCAAATAACAGTACATCAGTACTGGTAAAAGTCAATTTGTGTTGCATTCTGTGTCCAAATGTTATGAAAAAAATCACTTGAATCAGTGTATACAATCCGGGTTCTCTAAGGAGTTCCTTTAAGAAATCGTAGTTATAAGCAGCGTTCGCTTCTTTTTATCTACTTCCGTAACACAATTACAAATTTGCTAATATATAAAAATTCTAATATAAAATACTTATTCTATTATGCAAAATTTCCAATTAAAATTGTTCATCCACACAAAACATACATGATCATACAAGCAAATTGGAAGACTTGGTATTCTCCGCTCTCGATGTCATAGTGAATGGATGTCATTATGTAAGATCAATTATGCTATACATGTGTACGATATTTCATATATCATTCAAAAGATATCAACAAAGGGTTTTTTTTGAAAATTTAGATAAATATGAAGGTCGAGGTTTCTTTTCGTCACATGTAATGCAAATGTCGAATATGAAAACCCTATTTTTTGTTAATCAAAAGTTACAAAGAAAAGTAACTTTCTGGAAAGTTTATATACTTCAAGATTAAGGTCGCAGGATCAAAAGTCATGATGCATTCATAAAAGTCTTAATACAGGAATTTTACATATGCAATATGAAAGCTCCATTTTTTGTTTCTCAAAGGTTATGAGCAGTTCAAAAGAATTACATGTTTTCATAGTATGTCAAATTTTAAGGTCAAGGTCACAGGATAAAAAAATAAAGCATATCTATTAAATTCTAATTACGGAAAATGTACATGTGAAATATGAAAATTTTATCTCATCACATTCAAATTTTAAGGCTGGCACGAGAAAAATCTCTCCTTGTTCAAAGGCTTTGAGTGCCGAGTATAGAACAAAATTTGCAGCTCTCCACCGGCAGGTGATGGCGTCTCCATATGAGTGGAAAATTATCGAGAGGGACGTAAAATATATACAATCAATCACCAATATTTATTAAGAACAATTGTAAAGTTTCGGTGCCAATATTTCAGACATACAGACGGACAGACTAACAGACAAATTAGATTAGATATGGCTTTAGCAAAAACGGTAATTCATTAAGCAGGATAGTCAAAATTAAGGTTATTTTTAAAAATCGAAATGGCAAATATCAGTGCTTTCTATATTGATTTTTTCCAGTTTGGTCTCTCTCTCTCTCTCTCTTTAAGCCCAATGATTTAGGGCTGCATGTGAAAAGCCTTGCATTATCTTTTTTGTGTTGCCCAAGAAAAATAACTTTTTAAAATACGTAATATTTTAAATACGCAATCTAAAGTATACCAATTTATGGACAAGCCATTGCAATGTCGTGTATTGTTTTTTTATCTATTATTTTAAACATTCTCTCAAGTTGTAGTCAGCCGACCAACACGTCTTATTATATTGATGACTTGACTAGACATTTAAACTATGAATGAGTCCATCGAGATTGCTACAAATTATGTGCCAATTATTCCATTATCTTTAATAAATTAGTTATATTCACGAAGTACATTAGGTGTATTGTGTTTGATTAAAAATTGGTGGATTTTTAAGCCTATACGTTGTTAGTCATTTCATCCACTGACATTCTCTCTATCGAAGTCTCGACTCTCTGATAACTGCTATAATTATAGTTATTTGCTTCAGATTTTTTTAATATATATTTTACTATATTGTATACATCCAAATACATAATTTTGCAATCTATAAATCCATGGTATTTGCGTTTAATAAAGCTCTTACTATTGTTTATTTCATATTTCTTATGACCTATTCTTTCTATTTAATTAAAGATCCCACATGTTATGGATTTCCTGACAATTATACTATATACGAAGCGACAACTGAGACAATCAACATCGATGCATGTTCAGAGGAAAAAAGAAATCAATTGATGTTAGTGATTTTTTTATCATTATTAATCTTGTGTTATAAGCATATTTTAATTAACTTTTATCAAAGCATTAAGTTTGATTAAAAAGAGAGAAAATTGTATGTTGTTTTAGACTGATATTGAATAATTTTGTTTTTTTTTAGAATTAGTTTGACATTTCTGTTGGTGTCATGTATATATATAAGCACCTTGCCACTCATTTTAAGCCGCAATTGTCGTCGTTCATGTTTAAAACACTGTCCTGGTAAGTATGTTTGAAATATATTTAATGATTAATGAATACCGAGACTGTGCTCTGAAGATAAGGCCACATACACTAAATAATGTTAATTATACAACGTCTTTTTTATCTTTATAGTATATGATACTAATATCAGTTTTTTTAATTTTAATAAACATAATTATTACTTAAATTTCTGGGATATTTCAAAGAACAATACAGTCATGGATTTGTATCATGGGAGACTTGAACTTTGTTAGTTATCATACATACATTATACGTTTCACGTATTTGCAATCATTAAAATTGTAAAGAAAATAATATGAATATTATGCTTTTTTATTCTGTTCTTGGCCTAGCTTTAGGTAATGACCTTTCAGAATCTCTCGAAAGCTTCGACATACATTAAGGTTAATAAAATTACAAAGACGGATTTTCAATGTAGTAGATTTCTATTCAATAGGTTCTAGAAGGGAAACATTTTAAGATATATATTAATATATAAACAGCATATTAATATGCTGTTTATGGACTCTTATCCGAGCTCTCAGAGTAGTACTAGTTTCTCCGATGTAAAATTCGTTACAACCCGGGCATGTTATGACATAAATTAAGTTCTTAGTTTCACAGGACATGTCGGCATTTAAAGTGAAAATTCGGCCCCGGAAGTTGTATCTGGTTCCCTCCAAAATATAGTCGCAGGTACCGCATTTTGGGTCATTGCATTTAGTTACGGAACAATTCTTTTCCTTGAAACTGGATGTGCACAGAATTCTTTTTAAATTTTTAGCCTGGCGTTTGCTATTTATAAATTGAACATTTCGGTAAATTGCGTTTGTGTTCTCATTCTCCTTTAGTATCTGGTTTAATTGTTTTACCACTGGTGTTAGGTTTTGATTTCGTGGATTGTGGGTATGAACAAATGGTATAATTTGTTTTTAGCTAAGAACTTAATTTATGTCATAACATGCCCGGGTTGTAACGAATTTTACATCGGAGAAATTAGTACTACTCTGAGAGCTCGGATAAGAGTCCATAAACAGCATATTAATAACCCGCAATACAGAGAAATTAAGCTTAGTGAACATTTAGATATATGCGGGAAGAGACAATTTACCGTTTTCCCGTTCTATAAGATGTCCGGAAACCAAATCCAACGAAGAGAAAAAGAAAAACACTTTATTACTACTTTAAAACCAAAATTAAATAGCATTGTTTGACTTTCCCGTAATAACTGCTGGGAGAATTACGTCATAGAAACTGTATTACGTTCCGCTAATTATGACGTCATAGAAGGCGTTACTATGTGACAGTTAAAAAACTTGATTGTAAAGCATCTGAAGATTTTTTAAATGAAAGCGCCAATGCTTTACTTTGTTGTCTTCGTGTTTTCTTTTTAATTATTTTCACTATATATATATATCTACCTGCGACTATATTTTGGAGGGAACCAGATACAACTTCCGGGGCCGAATTTTCACTTTAAATGCCGACATGTCCTGTGAAACTAAGATTCACTATATATATATATATATTTATATATATATAAAGATTTTATTTAATTTGGACTGCAGCATTCTGTTTTTATTTATTTAAGTATATATATATATATATATATATATATATATATATATATATATATATATATATATATATATATATATATATATATAATTAAAAAGTAAATAATAAAAATAAATGAAATAATTTTTTTTCAAACTGCTTTAAGTTTATCTTACCGAAAAAGAAGGATTCTAAAGGTGTGACAGATGTACAGGTCAACATTATCAGCGGACATTTGTTGTTTTGACAAGTTGTGTTGTTTAAAATATATTTGAGATTGATAACTGCTAGGCAGCACCACTTTTTAACTGATATCATGAAAAGTTTCCATAATTGAGAGACTTAATACTTAATTAATTTTATTTCAATTTTTTTAATGTATCTTTTTAGAACGCTTCGGCTGGTTTCTATATAGATCTCGCAAAAGAAAAGAAAAGAACCCTAGTATAGAATCATTAAGTAGCATCCCCTTACAAGAAATGAAAGGTACATGTATATTTTTTTGTTCAGTAAAGGCAAAAATGAAAAGGATATTTTACAGATGTTCATCAATTTATGAATATGACAAATAATATTTTTTCAACAAAACAGGAAAATCCAAAACATCAGAGGTGGGATCCGGAAAAATATCCGTCATTTCAGTGTATATGAATAATGGACCAACAATGAGTTAGACTCAATGAAAAATTGTAATTGCTGACAAAGACATTGTTTTGACTATAGAACTTGCAAAATGATGATTTTAAAGGAAACGACTGATATTCTTGTTTCATCAACTTGTTTATCAATAATTAACCTTGGTTAAGAAATTCTTAATAGCTAGAGCATGTTCTTTCGTATCAAATCAACTGAGAGATAAAACCCTAAGAATACAAGATGAAATAAATTAAATTTAATTTCATAATGAAGTATGAGAACATTTTTATTAAAGGCTTTACGACGGCAACTGGATAGACAAATTATTTATATATTTATATTACAGATTGTGAGGAAAAAAAAGACATAAGGTCAATGAAAGAAATGAAAAGTGGTATGAATATATCATCAAACAAATTTTCACAGTTTTAAAGCAATTCATTTAAATAAATGACATTTAACGTAATTGTGGTTATGTATCTATTGCAGACTACAGAAGAAAAATAGAAATAGTGGATAAAATTTTATCAGGTAAAAATCTTTCAATTATCATTTCTCAGTTTTAACGGATCTGGGACCTGTTTTGCAAAACGAATTACGACTAAAAACAAATCCTTTAAATGATCGTTAAATTTTAAAAATTATTGACTGACTTTGACTTTGCTAGTGTAAAAATATCTTGAATTACTCCTTTTACAAAGATTTAAATAATTTTCAAACTTATTCAAAATAGAAAGTTATGAACAAAATAATTTTTTCTTCATTGTTAGTAACTTTGTAAATCAGGCCCCTAACTCTTATCGTTTGCTATTTTATATCCATTGCAGACCTTACAACAGAAAAAGACACAAGTGGTGAAAACGTCAAAGGTAATAGAGAAATCTTTCAATTGTTCTCTTTCCAATAAAATTTACTGATATATAACGTTATGTTACATATGTATGTATTAATTACAGATTATAAGACTGAAAAAGACATTTCAACATTGGAAGAAAAATTTAAAGGTAAAAACATATCAAACTCCCTTTCACAGTTTGCTAACATTTCGCTAAGGATGTATGCTTATAAAGAAATTCAATTTCATTTCTGTCTGAATGTTTGTTTTATTAAAAAAAAAGGTTTTAAAAATAAGTGCGTGAGAGAGAAGGTTGAGCTCATTCAAGCCAAATGATTGAATCAATGCATCTACATGACATTGTATGTATAATTTAATTTCGCCATTAGGTCTAGGTGCTGCAGATTTAAATTTGTTAATCAGAGGAAAAATAGGTCAAGGACACTTTCGCGGACCTTTATTTTAGCGATTTAGGTCCCCATCCTCAAGGCCCTGTAAAGTGCTTCTACTACCTACCCCAGCATATCTGAGTTGTGATTTTACTCAAATACTAAAGTCACTTTTTTCCAAAATTTTACAATTATAACTTTAACAATTACTGGAGCTATGAGATCAAACATTCCTGGAGAGCTGGCCCCGGGTCTCCGCAAAAAGCACTAAAAGTTTGGTCGGGAGGAATAAAAATATCTACTCTGTAGACATGGAACTTTCTCCGACATGGAATCTTCAAACGAAATTGCGATTTTGCTTGTATATTTGATAGTCTTGCAAGTAAGTGTATGTTCTTGGTATCAAATTGTATGTCTTGACCAGGGAAACAAAATGTAGTACTGCACCTCCCATCATACACAGAAATATGTTACATTGAGATATGGAACCATCACATACGCGATTTTCAAATGAAAAAATCAAAATGTTACCGAGGGACCCCCAATGGCAAGAGGTCGTCGACACTGAGTCATTGCGGCGTTCTAAAACTTTTACAATCCCGGTGACACCGCATGGAAATTGTTAAAATTTCTCTAAATTTTTCACAATGTGAAGATGTAACGGCGTCCCTACGGCAACCGACGCGTTTCTACGGCGATCTCACGGTATGCAACTGCATTTCCAAGGAGATCTCATTGCGACTGACTGCACTGTTTTCACGGCGTGTAAGGAGTTTAAAATTTCACCTCGCGTTCACGGCATTCTCACAGCACCTGCTGCGTTCACATCACGTTCACAATGCGTTTTTCACCCTTGGATATATTCAGATGGAATGTAAAACATTTTTGTTTAGTTTCAAGTCACATGATGTAAAGACTTCTGTTCATGCAAAGAAAAATAATTCTTAATTAATCAAGCAAAAAAAAACTCCTTATCTCTATTATGACGTAACGTCAAAAGACGCGACTAAAGTCAACAAGGTAAACGCGACGTGAAAAGGCCCCCTCGGAAGAAACTCTTTCCAGCAGAACAAGGGATTTTATGATCAGAGAAATTCTTGGGTGTGGTTTGATGTAGTTTATTATTTTAGAAGTCTCCGTCAAGTGCCTGTGTGAACTTTCCTTTTCATAATTAAGTGCATATTTTTTTAAATATGTCCATTGATGGTTAAAAAATATTCCCGTAAGGATGTTTTTAAAATGGTTTTTAAAATGAACTATGTTTGTCCTCTCCCTAATCGGGTCAAATAAAAGCGTCGGTAGATACGTCGAAATGTTTTTGTCGAAAATTTTCAATGTTGAATAAGATTGAAGGCATTTCTGAAAATAAAAAAAAAGTTGTTGATTGGATGAGATAATTCTGGAATGTATAATTTGGACTTTTTAAAAATATTTAAGTTGGTTCATCTTATAAGGTCAAACAAAAAAGTTCTTAAAGATATTTTATTTTTTATTTAATGTCCATCTGTTTCATCGTGATGCATGAGCAAGAAAAATTAAACAGGAGCATTTACACGATTAAACTAAAAAAAAAATAGTGATTTTGCGAAAATTGACCTGAATTACTTCTTTCTTATTTAGTGAATGGGTTTAATAGCTACCCCAGTTATAGTATTATACGTATAAATACATTTCAAATGCATATTGAACTGAAATGGAGAGTTAACGCTGCGGTTTAAAATTAAAAAAAAACGTATCCAAAAAAACTATTCCAACCCAGTATATTTCCATTTCCAATTGTTTTCTCTATGATAAACACTACAAAAGTGAATCTTGCTAATTTTATGGTAATACCCTGTGGTATGTATATTTCTGTATTACTGAAAGGTCAGGCCAGGGGGCCATAAAACTTAGACGAGCTCACTTTTGATCTCAGTCTCAATTTTTCTAAAGAAATATAAAGTGGAAAAGTGAGACTGAGAGACAAAAGTGAGTTTTATGGCCCCCAGGCCAGGTGTCAACCTGCATGTATATCACTGGCGTATTAATATACTTAAGAAAAAAAGATGTTTTGTTTAATTGTTTACAAAGTAATTTGATATGATATATCTTTTTAACAAACAAAATGAATAATGAATTATCTACGGCTCGAAAGCTTACAACTTATTTTTTTTAAATAACAAAAGTTATAAATTAAGATTGTAAATGTTATATTTTTCTTGTTTAGTTCAAGTAATTAATTAAACGTGAATGTCCATACTCCATAGCCGACACACAGCCCCCGGCATCACGTTGCGGAATATCTTATCAATAAGCGAAATAGTCTTCAGAGATGAGGGCATTCTTGTTCCCGTATTAAAGCATTCGAAACTGAAAAATTTCAATAGTAAATTAAACTTGTGGTTAAAGAAATGTTATGGTATCCAATATGATTAGATTAAAAAAAAAACTGTCGCACTCTTTAAAATATTATGTATTTAAAACGTAAACTATGACAAAACTTTCTTTTAATTATGTGTATTGTATAGTATTTTAATGCCTCCCCACGGGGGAGGTGGGAGGGGCAGGGCGGGGCGGGGCGGGCCGGGGGGAGGGATCTCAATCTTTTTAAAATATACATGTACTACTACTTTGATAGTGTAACGGGACCAATTAAGTGTCTCTGATTAATTGGAATTAAACACAAGGGCTCTGGTTTGCCAGTCAACTGCTTTACCGAATGAGCTTAGGGGGTAAACAAGTTTGGCTTTCCAGAAAGCCTTAAATGTCATCTCTTTGGCTCCATCTGTGTCAAAGAATAAACAGTGGAATGTAACATTTTTCTATTAAAGATAGAATATTTTTATTATTATTGTTGGGGGAATGGTAATTAGATATTGAACAGGAAAAGGGGTATAGCTTTCAAACTCCAAAATCGTATGTTGTAGATGGGAAGGAAAGGTTTAAAGTTTTTGATTTTTTCTGAAAAACCATTTATTTGGAGAAGACATTACTATACTAAAAGAAAAAGTATGGATAAGGGAGATGACTTGCAGTGAACATACATTTACAACAGTGAAAGTTTAAAGGGCCGGTCTGGGACTCAGATTTGAAGAAAATATATTTTTCTGAAATTTTCTAAATAATATCACGACTCGTGATTAAGCATTTCACACTGAACTATATATAAATCGTGTTTAGAAAACTCTTTTATATGGAAAATCCTAAAACTACTAATTTTGGGACACGTTTGATTGAAACGTATTCTCATACTTTAGTATGTGAAAGGATTATAATCTTCATATAGGCATGTATCTAACTTTGGAATAATTACATTTTTAAAAGAAAATTTGGATGTCAATTTAAAATACGTTAAACATAAAGGAAAGAATGAATTGGCCATTCATTTCATACCTTCGTACTATTCAGATAGAATCAATGAGCAATTCATATTTTCTGAGAATTTTTTTAAAAATCACATAATATTATTATAACTAAAAGAATTTTAGATGCATTTGTATTTGTTAATTTATTTAAAAACACACTCAAGATAGTAACAACAGCTGACCAAGTTCCACTTAGCGCAATACGATAGTAAAATTTAAAAGGTATTACTAGTAGCTTAAATTAAGCATTCAAGAATTATTTGGAAAAAATCCCAATTTGCCAACCCTGAATTACTGTTTTGGGAATATACTTTAATTTTGGCTTCATTTCAATAAAATATAAAAGGTGATTTGATTACTTTTTGCTATTAATACAATTGAAAATTGTATAAAAAATGATTGCAAGTTCTTTTATTATACCGGGGTATATGATTAAAAAGAAAACTGTAAACATTCAAGAAAATACTCGATCATAATCTATGTGAGTTTTCTTCCAATGCTCGTAGTTTTTCAAATATATTCTTGTCTCTTCTTATCCCCATACATGTATTTTTTGTGGAAAAATGGCAATAAATTATAGAATGACAACCATAAAAAGTTTTCGACATCAATTCATAGGAGTTTATAGTACTAAATGTAAATTATTAACTTTGATGTTGTTTTTCTGTTAATTCTTGGATCCACGCCTCAGCAGATCATTTGTGATTCAACGTGCTGACCTAGTTAGAATATTCCATCTGGTAGTCAGACCATAGATCATTTACGCAGTAGCCTACATGTAAACATGTAGGTGATTAAATAAGTACATATATTTTGAACACCATGCAAACAACCAGCAGGCGATATTGTGTGTCTGGCCCTCTGTGATTCCTGTGCAGCCCTTCTCTTTTTCAATGTTTGGATCGCTCATTGTTTACCGCTCTATATTTAGAAAATCGCATCATCATCAAAGTGACCACTCGGTGCTCCTCGGATAGTTCTTGCCCCGCACGAGCGTAATCATCCGAGGCTTACCGATTTTTAATGGCTGCTTACACTGGGACCTCACATCCGGAAATCAAACTTAATGTGTCATCTCTCGTGAGAGATGACAAACAGTAGCCCAAGCCATAATACGAAGCCGTGTTGATATCGTTTGTACTACCACAATTTTTTTTTCATCTAAATGTTGCTTATTTCCTTTAACTGCTGTGCAGTGATGTAGATTTCAGCCATTTTATTGCATAAAAAGTCATAAATTAGAAGAACTTCCAGAAGAAGAGAAGATTTTTGATTTTGATTTGAGTTTTGTTTTTCCCCTTGTCAATCATTTCTTTAACCTCCCACCCCCCTCTTCGTTTTTCAAAGATATAGTTAGAATGTTTACTTTCTATTATTACGATGAAAGAATATTAATTGTGATATTTTTAAGGGAATTACATCAAAAGTTTAAAAAT